GATAATTAAAAATAAAAGAATATAATGAGGAACTTGTTTGTTGATTGATAACACAATGTTACACTTGACCTGTACAATCAATTAACATTATCATCCATAGAAAATAAGGAATGAATTAGCAGATTCGATTAAAAAACCAGCAAAGAGTATCTTAATTTACATTATTCTATAGATTTAAACAAACATGATCAATCAATGATTGTTAGACCATTAGAAACCTGGAAGCACTGGACAGCCATTTCGTTCAGAGGTTAGACGTTCGCGAGCAAGACCGAAGGTCCTGGGTTCGAATTCAGCGAGGTGCAGGAGTTGTGGATGCGCACTGCTACTGATGAGTAGTCCCATACCAGGACGAAACGGCCATGTTTCAGTGCTTCCAGGTTTCTAATGGCAGTCTAACAATGATTGGTTGATTATTTCAATGTGCAACAAACACTAATCTCCATAACTCTAATTGATAAAATGATCAAGTTAAACAATTAAGCCGTAAATAAAAAAATCCGACTAATTAAGATTTGATAATTTTAATAAACTCTTAATTCGAGAATAAACACTATTTAGATACATTCAGTATATTTATTTGATTATTAAGATTGTTTTTAATTGAAATCATGAATCACTGTTAGACCATCATTAGAAGCCTGGAAGCACTGAAAGGCGACCGTTCCGTCTTAGTATGAGCCTCTTCAGTAGTGCACATCCACGATCCCTTCTCGCAAGGAACCCAACTCAGGACCTTTGGTCTAATGCGCGAATACTTAGTCTCTACACCACTAGGCTCGCATCCAATGGTATTAATGTCCAACTTGATCAATCAAAGGTTTCGCACAACCACACCCAATATCTTAGGTAGTTACTGCATACACCCGATAGTGTTGAACTCTACTGGTTACGGATTCGCACTAGAACGAAGCTAGTCACTAGTGAGCATATTGTATGCTATTCATTAAATCATTCAAACACTTGATACCACGGAACAAATTCGTATTAAAATTTCACGATATGTTGAAACAAATCACTAATAAATATTGAGATATTAATTCAATGAAGCATAAACTATTCATCGTTGTAATTACTAAACGTGGTAGATCTATAAAGATTGTTAAATTTTATAGTTTAAATCTCAGCGAAAACCAATAAAATCAAAAATAACTAGATAATTCTTAGTAAAGAACTCCTTGGCAGAGTGTATCCCAGACCCCGACGAAGATCGAACTCAGGGCGTTCGAATGTGTCATGGTAAGCCGGTAGCCAGTGATTTACACATGTCAAGTTAATCAATTCGTGTTAAACAATATCAACTGTTCGATGCCGTTTTTTGATGAACTTACGCATACATACATTCACCGCCAAACCTAAAACGATTCCCGACTCATGATATAAAATATAAAATTTAAACAATAAACAAACAGCATCAAAACTAACTCAATATCGCTACACCATTTCTCTGTCCAGATAGATAAGCGACTGTGAATGAAAAAAACAAAAATTGTACACTTTATAAATATCGCGCTTAATTAAAAAATCAAAGAAAAATTACCGGGTATTATTTTTTTTAATCAAATTAAATAAAATGTAGTAGGCATGATGGCATAACAGCTGGTTATTAAAGCTAACAATTAGCAGTTTTAACTGTACCAGCAGTGCAATGCAACACAACACAACACAACTAGTAATCACAAAACGACAACATTGTGATGATTCATGAATACAGAAAAAAAAATGCGAAATCGAATACATACATACATACATGTATGCGTTGGTTATGAGAAAATTTTTATTTTTCCAAACATAAAATGAATTCATTTAACCACCTACACAATTAATTATACAACTGGCAAAAACAATAATATTATTTTTCTAAAGGCTTCTATTTATTATCATGTTGCTGATAGGTGACCAGTTTCAGTTGGAATATATCATAAATGACAACATGGGCGTTTCGCTGACCAAGTGGTTCGATACAAAATGTTGCGTTAGGATTAACTTGAGTCGGCATCTAAACTAGCAGAGTGTGTCAAACGCCTCATTTATATCTTGGGACTCTTATCAGTGTTGATGGTCTGGCGACTGATGACATCTCAGCAAGGATACAGAAGGCTCGATTGGCGTTAGCCATCTTACAACACTTATGGCATAAGCGAGATTTCCGTTTGTTTACGAGTGTACTGCGTAGTAGTTCGCTCAATTCTACTTTATGGCTGAGAAACATGGCTGGTAAGAGTATAGAACATTCGTAGGTTATTAGTGTTCGATTATGTCTTCGAAGCGTTGCTCGTAAATCCTTGGACAACCGAATGAACAATGTTGTTGTTAGGAAACGTGTACTAGGTAGGAATGGCAGATTAGTTGATAAAGTCGTGAAACTTCATCATTTGAGGTGGTTGGGACATGTGTCACGACTGCCCGACCACCGACAGTCTCGGCAACCAATATTATGTGGTGTAGGAGTATGTTGGAAGTTAGGGGTGGCCAGACCGAAACATTACACGAATCTATAAGGTCACTGGCAAATGAACTGAGTCAAATTGGTTGATGCTGGTTACCTAGTTGGGGTCCTCAAGAGACAGTAGTTACCGATGGTTAGAGACCTTGAACGACATGGCTAAAAATCGTTTGCAATTGCTCAGATGCATCCATTCTTTGTGTTCTCGCAAATTTTAAATTGAACTCCTCATGACCTTCAGTTTTCTCGTCTCAAATCCCTTTCATTGGATTATACTTCTTAAATAATATCTACGGACTGTGATTTTTCCCATTACTGCTCATACTTGTGCTACCTCGACCACCATGGGATTTCAATCGACAATTACCTCTCTATGCTAGCGTTGTACGGCAACTTGAACTGATATACGTACGTATGAAGGTCTACGTTGTAACTGACTGACTGACTGACTGACTGATGAACTGAGTAATTACATGAATCATGTGTTGGCGCTTGAGGCAACAGGTGATAGATTTAAATCTTAATATGAACATCAACATATTAGACTGCAGACACATTCAGCTGACAAGTCGGAAATGGGATCAAACAGGTGTCCTAGATATTCTACTATTAGCCACAATCCAAATATATCATTCAATAGTCAGTCAGTCAGTTGCAACGTAGAACTTCGTACGTAAGTACATCAGTTCATGTTGCCATACAACATTAGTTCAGAGACGCAATTGTCACTTCAAATCCTATTGTGGTAGAGATAGTAGAAGTACTACTGGTAAAGGAGAAGATTAGGGTTCCAAGATATTATTCAAGAAGTATAATTCAGTGAGATAAGTTTAGAAAGACAAAGGTAGAAGTGTTGAAGAATACAGAAGATTAGGATTTGAGAGAACACAAAGAGTGGATGCACCTGCACCATCGCAAACGATTTCGAGCACGACCGCAGCTGCTACCTTGACGTGGTGGTCGGTCTTGCCTATCGCGATGACCCAACCGAGCTACATTGGCTGAAACATATGTTCCACGCCAGGCAGGTCGATTGGAGAACGATGAGACTAGAAGCAGCTACTCAAGGTCTGAGGGTGAAGTCGTACTGCTGACTGTAGAGGAGTGTGACAGCAGTAAGGTGTTTCCCTCGGACGACCAGCATCTGCAGCGATGCTTCTTTCTCCCAAGGAAGGAAGGGGTTAGTTAATGTCGACCCTAAAAATATTACAACTCACCTTATCTAAAGGATTTCCGTCTCCGGCGAAAAGGCCTTTTAAACAATTACGGAGCTAACACTTTAAACACTACCCATAAAAAGGCCGTGCGCGACCGGCGTCAAGCAGTAGTCCCTCAAGCTATGTGGTCACGTTCCCAGGTCGTTAAGACCAACGCTAACCTACCTTCCTTTTGAGGTACCTCAAGAAACACCCTTCCATGGTGTGGGCTGCCGGGAAGTGACATCCGCCCTCATACCCGTAACAGTACACGAGACCGAACTAGTCACAATCAAATCCTTCCTACACCACCTAATGTCTCCCTTATGCTGTTTACTGTATTTCTCAGTTTACTCTATGACGAAATCAGATAGTTATCATGTCTGATTGTTATGCTTGTCACTTGATATGCTTGAACTATTACGAGTTCACCTTACTTAGTAAACGAAAGTGAAGACAAATGATCCAGTGAAACAATAGGCTACTCTAATTCGAGCGTCTAAATGCCACACTAAATAGAAGAAGAAGTCTTGACAAGACGTAGAAAGTGTATTCTACAATCACTCAGAGATATGAGGTTCACAAGCATACAAATCGAGTTTATTTATTCATGATAGAAACGTCTTGGGAGAGCCACAAAAATAACATCCTAAAACAATACATCAACAAATAACAGCCAATGATTTACCGGGTGGGAAATGTAATCTCAAACTCAACATAAAATCCGAAATTAGGACCTTTATCAAGTGAGTTCTGAGGATCTAACATCCCCGACACTAATAAACAGAGTGTAAAATTTATGTCAATCATGAACCGATCACACTTGAAAAACCATTTAAAACCTGAAAGCGCCGGAAGGACGTTTCATCCCTGCCCTATTGAGGTCTCGTCAAAAGACACTGTTAAAAAGTCTCGCACTAGAGAACCAAACAGCTAACCGGCGCTTTCAAGTTCGCAATACTTATCTAACTGAGATCAATTCTTCAATTGAATGAAATAATCATTTAACCCAAACCTAAAAAAAAGTAGCCAATCATAATTAAAAATTGCGAATATTCAAACATTGGAAATGAAAATCTACTGATTTTCACACACCCACGGTTAATATATCTATCTATCTTATATCATACAAAACCTATAAAAACCTACTAAAATTATATTAGCGCTGACTTAAACAACAACAACAACTATTCTTCTCTTCCTCCTCTTGTGTACATTCATCATAGCGAATATGCAAATATTATAATTCAGTGAGAATTACGCCAGTAAAACATTATTGTGCAAAGTGATAATTGATTCACATTAACGTAGAGATTTAATTCATCACTGTCAAAAATATCCACAGAACTAATTCATCGTCGTCATCATCATCATCATCATCATCAGACAATCACCGACAGATTATCTACTTTCATTTCGTCTGAACACACGTACACACACACACACAGATAGACGCGCGCTCGCTCGCTCGACAAGCCGTCTAAACACAAAATTCATGATGTGGCAGCAGACAATAAATCAAATATTGTTTTTCATTATTGTTATATACGCTAGTTGTCTAATTATCCATGTTCAATCTATTCCCTATCATCATAGATCATTTTTATTACCATTGAGTAGTAGTAGTAGTAGTTTAGATCCATTGGAAAATGCTCAAACATTATCAATTACACCGGAAACTAGTGAAACAACCATACTTTTCAAAACTATTCAACCACAATTTACAAAATCCAGTCGTCAACAACAACAATCATCATCAAATACATCACCAACAGCGCCATTAAATCCTTTAATGAAAAAATCATCATTTCAGTATGATTTAAATAATTATACTATTAAACCAACATTTTATCAATATGTTAAATCATGTTGTAATCGTGAAGTGATGCGTCCAATGGGTGGTGGACATATGACTGGACCATGTTGTAAACAATTAATTAAATTTAATCATTTTATTTGGTTATCATTTCCATGGTTTAAAAAAACACTGACAAAACTTACTACTACTACTGAATAAAAATGACAATACTATATAAGTAGTTGTAAGTTTTTCCTATGGTCATTTATTTTTTTTTTGTTATCTGATAAGATAAAATAGTAAGATTGTGATTTAAAAAGCATAAACATTCAATACCCATTGAACACTTGAGCATAATGTGAAAAAAAAACAGTGATCATTGTGATTGAACAAATAATAATGATTATTTGTACAATTGACAGTCATTTTTTTTTCCTGTTTGCATTTATTGTGCAGAGCATTTTACTTTTTACTTATAAACAAAGGAGAAACACAAAAATTCCATTACTTATGCAATTGTTTATGTGTTGCTATAACCAGTGACTTTAATTTCCTTTTTTTATTCTACGTTTCAATGTCTCTCTCTCATGTTTAGAATTCAACTAACTAACTCTATGGTGGACAATGCTTGTTAGTGAAAAAAAAGAACTTACTGAATAAATAGAAAATAAAGAGATTTTTTTTAAAATATTTGTGCTTTGTTTTCTGAACAACTTTCACTATGTTCTCGTTCGCGTACATATACATATTTATATATATATATATTACTGAAAACGCCATATAAGTAGTATAATAAATAGTGACTTTGGAACGAGATGAAAATGATAGATTTTTCTCTGCATTTCTTCTAAATTTATACTATTTATTGTAAGAGAAGCCTTTAAAAAAATAAGATGAGATTTTTATTTTATTTAATAAGTTCTATGGTTGTTTTATCGTCGTATTGACAAACAGTAAACGTTTTTAACTCATGTTTTCCATCTTATTCAATGTGTTCAATCTTTACATTCATATTGTTTATTTGATAACATTCAATTGTCAACAGATTGTTTGTCTTGTACATAAAATAAAATTGAAAAAAAAATAGAATAATTTCAAATTTTATTCGTAGGTTTCTAAAAGGTTGGGCATATTTGTAAATGTTAAAACGGAGAGGTAGGTCAAAAGTATGTTCACATTCGACTAGGATTACCATAAATCATTTCAATGAAGCAATGTTTAAAATATTTTGATAAGTGGAATTTTAAAAAAAAAATAGTTTCACTCTCAAAAATAACAACAATGTAACATACTGCAGCCAGGAGATAGTAGTAGTAGTAGTAGTAGTAGTAGTAGTAGTAGTAGTAATATTAATAGTAGTATCGTTTCATGCATGATAATTTGGGCGCTGTTGTTGTTGTTGTTGTGGTTTTAATGTCACCGTAGTTTTTTGAAAAGCGAAGAACACCCACAGTCAGTCATATGATGTAGGTTTAATTTGTTGACAGAAAAAAGGGATTGAAATTCCACAATTATTATTATAATTATTATTATTACTATTATTGGTATTTGAAAGTGTTTACAGACAAAAAAAAAGCGCTGAATGTTGGATAAAATTGACTGATTGACTAATTCACTGTTGATTTTCATCATTTTACCAGTAGTACTTATATTTAATGTATGTTTGAAAAGTTATGTAATCATTTATTTTAAGAATATTATAGTGAAGAGGAAAGAAATATACAGATGTCAAGTTTCGTAATCCATAGTTATGATCTGGGAGAAGAAGTGTACGTTTCCATTCAGTTTAAATCCTTTGTATTATTATGACTGAACAACTGAAAAAACACATTCATTTGAAGCTAAACAGTAATAGAATATATTGTCTTTGATGAATGAATATTTTTGAATTCTTGAAATATAACTAAAGATGTAAGTTGAATAGAACTAGGTGTATTATCATCACTCAAGACTGGTGATTTCATTAACAATACTTATTGGTGACGAGTGTTTCTGTTTATTTGTTAGTTTTCGAAACAAATTACGGTGAATGACTTAATAAATAGAGTGGTCACTTACTTATAGTTGGATTAAAAAAAAAAATTCTACGTACAATAATGTCGTCCGAAAAAAAACAAACACATCATTTACTTGGATGATATAAATTACAGAAAGACAAAGATGGCCAAAGCCAAAAACAGTACTTGTTAAGTAAACTAATCTTATTGTTTTGTTTAAGAGAGAGGAAAGTTTATGTAGGTTTTGGTGCACTGTATCACCAAAAGACACTAGTCAGAAAGTTTCAATATTATATGATTAACGGAAGTCTTCCTTCTTGAGTAACAGTGATTAATATAATTAGATATGATATACGTATGCTTTAGATAATAAAGTGAGTCAGTCAGTCGGTCAGTTACTACGTAGAACTTCGTACGTACGTACGTACATCAGTTCAAGTTGTCATAGCACGATAGCACAGAGATGCAGTTGTCGATTCAAATCCTATAATGGTAGCGTTAGTAGAAGTATGAGCAGCAATCGGAAAGATTAGGGGTGGATAATGAAGAGTAGACTACCTGGTTAGGATCCGCGAGATGATAAAAACCGATGGTTAGAGACCTTGAACGACATGGCTCAAAATCGTTTGCAGTGGCGCAGGTGCATCCACTCTTTGAGCTCTCTCAAATCCTAATCTTCTGGATTCGTCAGCACCTCTTCCTTTGTCTTTTTAACTTTATCTCACTGAATTATACTTCTTGAATATTATCTTCGAATTCTAATCTTCTCCATTACAGTTAATACTTTTACTATCTCTACCATTATGGAATTTGAACTGCCAATTGTGTCTCTGTGCTAATGTGGTATGGTAACATAAACTTATGCGCGTAGGTACGAAGTTCTATGTTGTTGTTGACTGACTGACTGGCTGACTAAGATGTGATGAAAAAAACATCTGTCCTAACAGTAAACATGTAAGTTTTTATGAATGATCATTGAAGTGCTTGTAGTAGAAGAACAAATTATTCACGACATAATCTCAATTCAAAAAGAAAATCCATCGAGCCTAATTCTTCATAATTCATACAGAAGTGGAAACGATCATGTCAATTGTGGTTTAAGCCAATGAATAGATAAGAAATACTTTATAAAGAAAAAGAATGACATTTAAAAATTAATTGATTACTGAGAAGTGACCAATGGTTATGTTACTTTCTGTATCCACTCAAGATTACAAATGTAATCCTGATGAAGACAAGTTCGAACAAGTACGAAATGCAAGTAGAACACAGTATCTCGTTGACTAGTATCAACCATCTAGCAAACTGTGACATTATAGAATGGGAAAGATTAAGAAGACGAATGGAATAACAATTAAGCAGTTGTAAATGACTTTGGAACAATATGTCGCCGCCTCCCTAAACACTACCATCGATAATTCAAAATTCTCTCAACATTTTTTTTGCAGAAAAATCACACTTTTTCAAAATCGAACAAATCAAATTAGAAAACTATGCAGAATGTAGAAAAATATCATCGAAAATATTGTCAAAATATGAAAAATTTAACTACTAGCAATTTTAAAGAAAATAATCATAATTAATACTTGGAATAAATAAAAAATTGTTTCATTAAACTAAATAAATAAAAGCAAAAATAATTTTTCATGCAACAACCGCAACAACAACAACAACAACAACAACATTGAAGTTCATGGGTTAGGGTTGTATTTTTAAAAGTTATTTACATTTTTTTTAAATAACAAAAAAAATATATTTACTGCGTTTCAGTGAAAAACTTTGTCTCAAAGAAATTTATGCCATAGTTAAATAGGAAATAAGACAGATACAATGCAGAGCTTCGTAAATAAGTACATCAGTTCAGGTGGCCATGCCACATTAGCACAGAGATGCAATTGTCAGTTCAAATCCAAAAGTGATAGCGATAGTAGAAGTATTAGCAGTAATGGAGAAGATTAGGGAGCGAAGATATTATTTGAGAAGTATAATTCAGTGAGATAAATTTAAAAGGAGAAAGATAGAGGTGATGAGGAATTTAGAAGGTTAGAATTAGAGAAAACACAAACAGTGGATGTACCTGCGACATTGCAAACGATTTTGAGCCTTGTCATCCGATGTTTCTAACCATTGGTGACTTTCGTCTCGCGGATCCCAACCATGTAGCCTACATCTACCAACATGACTCAGTTCACTTGTCAGTGACTTCATGGATTTCTGCGATGTTTTGGTTTGGCCGCCCATAGCTTACTTCCAACTCACTCGTACACCACAAAACAAAGCTCGTCGAGGCAGTCGGTGGTCGGTATATACGTAACATATGTCCCAACCACCTCGACTAATCAAGTTTCACTACTTCATCTATTGATTTGCCATCCCTACCTAGAACTCGTTTCCTAACGACAGCATTGCTTAAATGCTTCGGAGACATCGATGATCGAAGACTAGTAGCCTACGAATATCCTCTACTCTTAACAACCATGTTTCGCATCCGTATAGTAGGACAGAGCGAACTGCTGAACAGTACACTCATCCTTTGGTTAGCAAGCGGATATCTCACCTGCGCCATAAGTGACGCAAGTTGGCAAAAGCCAACCGAGCCTTCTGTATCCGTGCTGAGATTTTATCAGTCACCAGGCCATTAGCACTGATGATGAAATAATGAAAAATGATAAAATATTCTAAAAATATCAACAATAATTTCGTTTCAAAAATATCCTTTAATATTAAGGTACATTTCCTAGCAAAAGTAGAAAATTTTGATTAAAACAACCTGTAAGGTAGCTGCTTATGCGCTACAGTCCAAGTATTATACTGGCTGAGAACAACTAATTCAACATAATTTATGTAAGAATAATGATAATGAAATTAACGATCTGTGTAGTTAAACGAAAGTTCTGGCATTTGTAACTCTACACATCAACAATCTTTAAGTCAGTCAGTCAGTCAGTCAGTTGCAACGTAGAACTTCGTGCGTAAGTACATCAGTTCATGTCGCCATACCACATCAGCACAGAGATGTAATTGTCAATTCAAATCCAATAGTAGAAGAGTTAGTACGGGGATTAGAAGTAATCGGAAAGGTTAGGATTAGAAGATATTATTCAAGAAGTATGATTAAATGAGAAAAGTTTAGAAAGTCAAAACTAGAGGTGTTGAAGAACCCAGAAGATTAGCATTTGAGAGAACACAAAGAATAAATGCACCGGCGCCATTGAGCCATGT